GAGCCACATGTACATACTCAAAAGAGCCGCATGTGGCTCGCAAGCTGCAGTTTGCTGACCCCTGGCGGCTCTTCATCTCAAAAGTTTGCCGACCCCTGTTCTATTATATACAGAGCCAGAAGAGAAAGCCCCACTCATAAGGTGATGCCATTTAAGCAGACACCTAAAGGAGGGAGGGTGCTTCCCTGGCAGAGGGAACAGTAAGTGCAAAGGCCCTGAGATGGGCTTATGTGTTGAGGAACAGCAAGACTGAGCTGGAACAGAGTGAACGAGGGAGAGGGATGGAAGACATGAGCGTAGATAGGAAGTGGGACTGGATCACAGGGGAGCTTGTGGGCATTATAAGGACTTTGGCTTTTACTCAGGGGGGACGTGGTGTAACGGGGTGAATAGTGCCCCCCCTGAAGAAGCCCCCATCCTCATCGCCGGAACCTGGGAACATGTTACTTTGTGTGGTAAAAGGACTTAGCAGACAGGATTTAGAATCTTGAGACGGGGAGGCCATCCTGGATTACCTAGGTAAGCCCAGTGTCATCGTAATGGTCCTCCGAAGCGGAAAGCAAGAGGGTCAGAGACGGTAGGTAGTAGAGGAGGTGACGACAGAAACACGAGGTTACAGCCATGCGTGGAAGGGGCCATGAGCCATGGAAGGAGGGCGGCCCCCAGGGGGTGACAAAGGCAAGGGGATCGATTTTCCCCTGAGGGTTCTAGAAGGAACACTGCCCCTCTGTGTTCATCCAGCTGGTAGGGATGGTTAGATTCGGGTCTGTCTCAGAGGCAGAGCCAGTGGGAATTGGTGTTGATTTAGAGGAGGCGGGTAAGAGTGAGGATGGACTGTGAGGGGTTGGACCTGGGGAACTGAAAGGATGGTGAAGATAATGGGAGGGCTGGGTTGGGAGGTGGGGGTGGAGAGGAGCTAGTCAGGGCTAGGGTTTGTGTCTTCAGTTTGAGATGCCTTTTGGATGTCTAATGGGGGAGGCAACTGGGAATTAGAACCTGGAGTTCAGAGGCGAGGTCCAGGCTACATAATAACTCTGGGCATTATTGGCATAAATGTAATGCCACAGATTGGGTGAGACCCCTCGGATGTGACTCAAGAGTGGAAAATGGAGCTGTGAAGCACTGTGGTTCCTCGGCACTAAAGCCGGAAGGATCGGGGACCGTTACGGGTCGGGCCAGCTCCCAGGCAAGCGTCTGTGGCATCCCCTGGGTGGCTCCTGTGCTAGTGCAGTGGGTGTGCTTGTGCTTCGTAGGAAAACTGTTTTTCCCGACGCGTGTAGTTCACTGTGCCAGCAAAGGAGTGAAGTAGACACAACTGACTTCTTCTCCTGAGCCTGCCTGCGTCCAAAGTCTCTTTTGGACCGGTATTTTCAGCCCACAGCCAATTTCTTCTGAAAGAGCAGCGCTGTGACTAACTGAAGGTTCACCTACTTTTAATTCGTTGAGAAATTAATTAGTAGAGTAGGGGAAAGGCCTGCACTGGTAGGGGAGGAAGGAAAGGCAGACACCCTGGCCCAGAGTAAACAGCCTAACGGTGATTTCAGAGCCGGTCCACCCTTTCACCTTCTGCACTTTCTCAACCACACATAGACATTTGTGGTCATGTGAGCTGAAGATGTGAAATGTGTGTTTCTGCCTGGTCTCCTCCCTAAGTGTTCCAGAATTCAGTTACTTGATCTTGATGGAATCCTTTCTGGTTTTGTGGCTCTGAGACAGTCATGGGAACCTCTTCTTCTGCACTTGTCCCCCAGATGTTTGCCTTTGGGATGAGGAAATCAGATTGGTCAGCTAAGCATGCAGCAAAGGAAAGGGTTTTAGATGTCAGAACCTTATCTCCACCAATTTGAGCAGCTGGTGAGAGGGATGCACGCAATGCCACATACACCTGGGGCCGGCTGGCTTCATGGCCCACTCGGTGTGGGACAGTAGTCAATGGCAATTTTCATTGCAGAAATAAGAGAAGCATATGTATCTTTCTAGCATGCTTGTGAAGGGTGGAAACAAGTAATATCAGTCGCATTCAGAGAGTGAGTGACATCATGAATTGAGAATCTCTCCCGTTGTATTCCCCAGAATGAACAGAATTAAGAAAGAGTGGTTATCCCCCGCTAAAATCCTCCTTATTACAACTCTTCATCTTTTCTTTTATGGGCGCCGTGAAGCTAAAGAAAAATAGTGTCTCTACTGGGGAAGGAAAGAAGGAAACGCAGCATTCTCTTTTTGGTCATTAAGTTCCTGTTTATAAATGTCTTTTCCTTTTTGTGTTATTGTCCCTCTGTCTGTTGATTCCCAGTCATTCAGATATTTTAAACATGTTTTAATGTATACAGTAGATTGTAGAGGTTTGTTTCTTCATCACAAGGCTTGGGTTCAAATCTCACGAACTGCCCCAGTTCCTTGCTCTGTGACTGTGGATAAGTTCTTTTACCTTCTGTTCCTCATGTAGAATGAGGGTAGTAATAGCCCCTTGTCAATATGTTGTGAGGATAAAAAGAACAATCGACGTAAAGAATTCAGCCTTGCACCAGAATTAAGTACAGGTGCTCAGTAAATATTAAGTAAATGAGCATGCACACAGGTGCATGTGTGTGTACGTGTGTGTATGCATGCACGTGCACACACACATGGGGGGTTTTTATACTATTCAACTTTAGAGGCCAGTTTTCAGAAACCTGGGCTCTTCTAAAATTCTTAGCATAGAGGTTGCTCCAAGTCCCACCCTTTTGACAGAGAAGAAGCAGTTAGTGGCTGAGCACCTGGTGAGAGGACCAAGGTCCAAAAGCCTGTCTCCATCGCACACTGTGATTTGGTCAGTTTATTACATGGACAAAAGAAAGGCTATGAACTTTCTTCCTGGGTGAAAGCTGAGGAGAAGCATGGAAGGTGTCAGAAGTGATACGCAGGAAAAGGTTAGGGGCGAGAAGAGGGTGAGGGCCAGATGGGGAGTGGCTCTCCATGGCCAACACTCAGGGCGGACATGAGCTCCCAGAGGGAGGGTTTCACTGCCATCCTTTCAATCCCATCATAATTTTAATAATAAACTTTTAATTTCACAAATAATTTTCCAAGTCTGTGCGTTTTTAAGAGTTTTATATTGAGGCTGGTTCTTCTACCTAGAAAGCTCTGTGGTGGTTAGCTTTTTGATGGACCATTGGTTGCTTGAGTCATTCATTCATTCTTTCACTTCTTTGCTTTTTCACATCCTTTGTGTGACCGTGAACTTGTCCCTAAGTATTGAATACTTTGTAGTACTTGCACTAATTGGACTCACTTGTGAATCCCATGTTGAGGTCTCCACAAGTGGCAACTTTGTTTTCTGGTTAATTTTTCACTGTCATGTTACCTTTTGTGATGCTGCTCATTTCATTGACAATTTTTTCCTTCTCCCAGAATGATTTCTCATAATAATCACCATTCTGCCCTAATTGTTTTCATTTTTTAATTTTACTGATGTGTGCATACACGGTAATCCTTTTGTCACTTGTCTACATATTAGTAATTTATTTCATGTTTAAAGCACACTATATAAATCCATCTTTCTAACTCTTATTTTGNAACTGATCTTTCCAAGAACTCATGAAATATTTAGGAAAGAGTTGCTTCTCCAAATAGTGACATATATGGCATCCAGAAATACTGGATTTTTCGAGCTAGTCTCTAAAATTTCATTTTTTTTTTTTGCCTCGTGTATGCCCTCTCTCCCAGAATTTCTCAAGCAGATGAAACCAACCAACTCTAAAATATTATTTTGGGCCATGGAGGAAATTGTTTTCTATTATGTATAGTAACATACAGTTTTGTTGAATTTTAAGACATCAGAATGTAATTGAATACCTGTAAACAAACAAAACATACACCTGATTATACTCCCCCTTTTTGGTGGATGATAAAAGGATGTTTTAGGATTTTAGCCTTCCATAGTTTGGGATCATGTAATCATCACATAGTATTGTGAGGAAATGTCCAATTGCTGGTATTCTGCCTAAGTTAGGGCATTTTCTGTTTTTAAACTCTATGTCATTATTTTAGCCCCTTTGTCTTCATTTATTTTTGTTATTAAGGCCTATAGAAACAAGGAATAATACAGTTGGCCCTTGAGCCACACTGGTTTGAACTGTGCAGGTCCGCTTATATGCAGATTATTTTCAATAACTACAGTAAATGTATTGGGTCATCGGGAAAGTCATGACGTATTTTTCTATGTTTTTCAATGCAAAAATGCGTCATGACTTTGCCGATGACCCAATATTTTCTTCCTCGTGATTTTCTTAATAAAGTTTTCTTTTCTCTAGCTTACTTTATTGTAAGAATACAATATATAATACATATACCATACAAAATATGTGTTAATCGACTGTTTATGTCATCGGTGAGGCTTCCAGTCAACAGTAGGCTGTTAGTAGTTAATTTGGGGGAGTCAAAAGTTATAGGTGGATGTTTGTGTAGGGGGCCATGGCTTCTAACCCCTGCATTATTCAAGGGTCAACTGTAATTAGTCTGATAATGGGAACAGGGAACAGCGATTATGGCCCCTCCATCACCTGAAATCCTTTTAGTTACTTATTTATTTTTAACATAGTGCTATTTACATGAAAGGGCCCTTGTGCCCGAAGTATTGATATAAGTGACACAGTGGTTTTCTTTGTTTTACTTTGGATGCAAATGGAGTAAGAAATGTGAGTCGGAAGTAATAGAAGAAAAAGAGCTATCTTTTTTTCTGAAAGCATATCGAAACTCTGTGCCAGAAACTGCTGGTGCCTGCCCACAGTTGTTAATTGTGTCAGCCTTCTTGGATATAGGTGTTTTCCTCAACACAGCAGCCCCACAATAAGCCAGTAAATCTAAGTTTGACCTGCTTGTTATTATCGTGAGCCCTAGGTGTGTCACCAGCTTTTCACCGAGCCAGGGTTATTAATCAAAGCTGACTCCCTTGTATTGATCAGACCGCAAATGGTTGGGTTCCATGCCACCCTGTTTATATATCGCTGTTTAATTTGCAGCCACCCTGCGTGCACTCTATCTAAGTGACAACGATTTTGAAATCCTGCCGCCAGATATCGGGAAGCTCACCAAGTTGCAGATAGTAAGTAATTTATCTAAATTCTGAGAAAATCAATTCGCTTCTGCAGCCCCTGTAGGAGGAGAATCAAGTCAATTTGAGCAGGAGTAGGGTTTGTTTTGTAGGAATAAACCGCTGCTCTCGGTACTGTTTGTTGTTCATCTGCACACACTTGTGAATAAATTGGAAGGGTTGAGCCTTAAAGAGGAGAGGGCATGGACGAGGACAGGCGTTTCTGTCGAGCGCCTCTGTATGGGAGTGTCTGTGAAATTGTTCTGACAAGCCCTTGTTTTCTCATGTTTAGCTCAGCCTTAGGGATAACGACCTGATCTCGCTGCCTAAGGAAATCGGGGAGCTTACTCAGCTCAAGGAGCTCCACATTCAGGGGAACCGCCTGACCGTTCTGCCCCCAGAACTAGGTAAGCTGGCTGATGGATGAGCTTGGTGCTAGATTTCATTAATAATGATTATGCAAATGCAGCGGTTCTGCACAACCCTCTCCCCTCTTCCTGGCGAGTACCCTCCACCAAGGCCCCCAGTCCCCCGATCACTTCCACTCGCGTTTGTCAACTGACGAGAGTTCAGCCCAAGCGGGTTTGACCTGCCCCAATGCTGTGTTCAGCAGGGACAGTGCCCAGTGTCTCAGCAACTGCTGACAAAGATGACCTGACCCACTCAGCCACCTGCCTGGTGGAGTGAAAAGAGCCTGAGATTACTAGTGATCATCTTATCTATGGCCCCTCCTTTCCTACATGATGTGTTTTTGTTTTTGTTTTTTATCAAATCATCGCTCTTCGTTTTTTTATCCCATAATTTTTTATTTTAATCTCTTGAAAACTTACCAAGTAGTTCAAGTGTTGTTACAGTCTCTTGGAAATACCTGTTCCAGTTCATGGATTGGGTTCTGTCCCGATCCCACCCCCAGCGGCAGTTGTTAAGTGTGTTCTGGCTGGGGATTCTTCGGTCCTGCCCCCTGGCCGCTGAATCTTACTGCTCTGCCTAGCCATTCAGGTGGCCCAGGGTGGGCTCGATGACCTCCCTGGAAATAGCGGCCAAACCTGCCCTTCTCTTACTGAGGTTGTGCTGCCTTTCTGGAAAAGTTCCATGAGTTTATTTCTCTCATGCACACTCTCGCTCACTATCCTCTAATTTCTTGAAGACTTTGAGCTGCATTGTTTCTCAGACTACGACTTTGCTTTTCTGTTCCAAATTACCATCGTTTCAAAAAGCACATTGAACCCAGAGTTCTTTGAGCAAGTCCCTCCAATGAACCAGGTGGATTTAAAAAGGCCAGTTATTATAAATTAGACTGTAAGCTCCCTGAGAGCAGGGGGCTTTGTATTTGTTCCCTGCTGTATCCCGTCCCTCCCAGGTTCTAGGCATGAGGTAGCACTCAGGGAATATAAGGAATATGCACTGAGCGAGTTGGTGAAACGCGGACCTCGGATAGCAATGTGTTGGGAAGGCTACGAGCATGGAAGCCACGAGCCACGTTTCAGGTCCTCAGTGGCCACATGTGGGAAACACAGGTAGAGAACATTGGCGTCGGCTCAGGAAGTTCTGTTGGGCAGTGCTGGTCTGAAAGAAAAGCATTCACGTGATTTCATGGAACGAAAGGAAAGTTTCGCCCCCACTTTTCCCTTCTCCGTGAGCTCCTTTGTTGGTGTAAAAGGTCCAGAAGAA